GTGGGTCGAAGAGTTTTAATTGGCAGCCACCCTTGAAACTTTTCTGAAAGCAGAATAGATTCGAAATTGTGATCGTACCGAACAAGAGTTCGTATATTGCAATTAAAGCATTCTCTTTGGGTATTGAATATGAGTTATGATTTATCGGCATCTGAACGTTCCAAATGTATGAATCAGAGGTTAATATTCCCTGGATTGATGGAGTATCAAATGGGATTCAGACAACAACAAAAATGAAGTATTAATTAATCACTACCAATTTCAAAATCACTTTTGGGAACGCCGTTATTGGTTTTTCGGCAGAAACAGTGATAAGAGTTTAACTTATCATCTTTAGCTTTTTTTAATTGTTCATATTTAAATATTATTGGACTAAATAAAATAGTGGTTTGATGTACTTTGTTAATTCAAGTGCTGATGATGCAATACGACATTATAATCGATATATTACCTACTATTAGAATCTATTTTATTAGTCGATTAAAATGTTTAAATTTCAAGGAAAATCAATATATGTTTTTTTTTAAAAAAGGAATTGGCGTTTCCAAAATGTGTATCACTTTAATGATAAATGATACTTTAATGATAATGATCACTTTAATGATAACTTTTTGTAATACTTTACTTTTTACTATATTTTCTGTTAATTAGCGATATATCAGTTTAATATTTTTCTTAATGCTATTATCGCATTTTGCTTTTTCTGTTAGCCGTGTTAAGAAAAGCTCGATAGAATGTATAATTAACATACATAGTATACATAAGAGTTAATCATATTCCAATCTTTGCTTTCTTTTCTTAATCACTTTGAAATACATTTCTAAGTTAAATGTTTACTTTTTTATACAGAGGAATAAAGATTCATTTTAAGCTTACTTATTCTGGTAAATGTTGCCAGTTGCAAATTTCTAAAACCAAATTTTCATAAGGAGTGAGATAATCAGTTAATTAAATTGAAAAATATTATTTACATATGATATTTACATACTATTGTAACTAATATTACATACTATAATAAAAGAAATAGGTGTTTGAAAAATAAAAGAGCTTTCCCAATCAAAATTGAAGAACATGTTTTACTTTAAAAATTCTGATTCTCTAAGGAATTTCCGATGTACAAATTCTAGTTCTTTCCATTTATTTGCCCGATGACAAAACAAAATCTTCTGAAACTTCCACAGGAGTATATTTTTGAAAATTATGGAATTTCAAAAGAAAGTCACATTACACTAAAAAAAATAAAATCTACACTACAAATTTAATTTTTTTCTGTCTTACGAAACTAATTCATTGAAAGAATCTCTTTTCTGTACCACAATTTCTTATTGAAAATCTACCGTATCTTCCAAAAATAGCAACCATTTTTGAAAACTTATTCCATCCAAAAATTCGAATTTCTTCCTTTTGGTCTAAAATAAAATTTTCTCAGAACAGTAGCTAGACATTTTCTCAAAACAAGGACAACTATGTTCTTCAGAAAACAAGAGCTTTCAGAATCCAGGATCCTCTGGAGTATAGTGGGTCTTAGATTCTGGAGTATCCATTTTCATAGGCTCTCGAGGCTCTTTCATAGGCTCGTCTTCTCCTATGCCAACCCTCTAGAAAAGAACTTAGAATAAAAATGCCAGCCAAAAAATATTATTGTAGAAACAAAAGAGAAACTTACGGAGACAACGACAGAAGAACATTGAAAACTTCAGCCTATAATGTCACCTCTTTGACCAATCCTACCTTTATCCCACTCTTCCCTATTTTCGACAACAAAAGGACAGTTTATTTACAGTTTCTTCATTGTTATTTGTACTTATCTTCAAGGATGAAGATAGCTTTATGTCCCGGGCAACTGTCCTCTTATAATTTCCAATTGGCGGCAATCTTATTCCATGGATGTAGAAAGAAAAGTTTTTGTACTTCTTCAGGTAGCCATAAAAGGGGTTGCAGAGTAATTTAGAATAATGGAATAACTTTCATACGCAGTATCATAGAAGGTAAATATTCGAAGTGGAAAGAACTCAGTATGGGGCTATTCGGAATTCTTTTGTGGGGAAAAATGATAATCAATATTGCGTTCTATTTCTAAGTATATTGTAGTAAAAAGAAAAATTTTATTATTTCTTATAAAACATATTTAATAAAGCCATTTTTATTAATTTTTTACATACCTTTTTGCTTCAATATAACATATAACTTCAATATTTTTAGTATTTTACACTCAAATTAATTAATAATATTTCACCTTGATTTATTACTTGTATTGTTTTTAATTTTAATATTAATTAAATTCATTGATCATTTAACTAATTGTATTTTTTTTGTAATTTTCATTTTTATTTTGTTTGTAATTAATTGTAATTTAGTACATGTCAAATTATAATATAGAATCCTATAATTTCAAGTGAAATTATTTTAATTTTAGGCTATTGCATTCTACGACAAATTTTTTCAGCATTCTATCGACAAATGTTTTTAGATTAACTAGAAAAATAAGAACATTCAATGTATCTCAATAATAATAATAGGATTTTTAAAATTTTAATTAAATATATTTTTCTTTATATTTTAAAATGAAATATAAAATTAGCTTTTAATGATGTTAAAAACTTGATTAACAAATAAATAAGAATGGAAGTTTTAATTAATTAATACATAGAAATGATAGAGAAACAAATAGTTTAGCATTCCTTATATAAAAATTATTTGAAGAATATATTTTAGTTTTGATAATTTATTACGCATAAAAAATTATTACTTTAAAAAACACATAATAAAATACCTTATATTTTCAGCATATTTTAAAATTTTAATTAACTAATATATTTACAACAAACTACATAATTCAATTTCAGTAATTAAAAATTAATATTCGAAATGAAAAAAATTGTTAATTAATTAATTTATGGAATTAAATAGCTGTCCGTCTATCACCAAATCATTGAATATTAATTATACCCCATAATAAAATCCATAATCTGGAGTACGTAGCAACTGGATATTTGAAAAAAATAATTACTATTTTTAATTGAAATTAAAATTAATTAAACATAATTTTTTTTTCCATTTATGTTTATTCATTAATTAAAATTTTCACTTTTAGTTAGTTGTTAACCAAAGTTTTTTAACTACTGAGTCAGTCATTATTAATTCAAATACATGCAACTCAACACAAATCAATACATCATGGACTGCCAAAATCAACAAAAGTATTTTATTTTGATCCCATCAATTAATTAACTTTAAAGAATTAAAAACTATTAATAATTCGCTAAGATTTGAACTTAACTGTTATTAATCATGACACTTTCCAATTAAGTTATGCTGTCATGTACGAATCAAATACGTTTTAAATTTCAAAAGAATACCTCTGATTAACTCTACACTCTGTTAAAGAATTCAAACAAAATTTTCTTCCTTCATAATTCTGTATTTTACTCCAGACATTATTAATTATTCTTAAACCTGATATCCATTTTGACAAGACAATACATGGACAAGGAAACAGTTCTTGCATTTTTATGTGCTAAAAATCAAATCAAATCCTTGCCATCCTTTAGGTATTAAAGCCCAAGTCAAAAGCTGCTTTCTCCTCAAAGAACGCCTATCCACACCTCTGTAATCCACCATTAAGCATCCATTATTAATAGAATGCTGATGTCGAATTCTATCAGGAAGTGTGTAATTCCGGTATCTCATAACAATGCATCTTCCGCGATATAAATAAGGGCAGCTCGTGCTTTGGGCGCGTACAATGCATCGGAAGGAGCAGGAATAACTCGCGTATTAAATTAATGAAATGGAGATGCATTTATCACTATGGTAACGAAGAAGACTGAATTAATCATACCTTCAATGCTCCTGGTTGAGTTGCAGCTAACGCGCGTGATAAATCGTGGGGACGACGACTTCTCCTATTGGGCAAAGAATAAAGAGCGCGTCCTGCCCACAGTGGGAGAGTGGCTGGAAGAGATTTGTTATCACGCAGTAGCGGGTCATGTACATTTCTGTTCTGGTTATGAAAGATTACGCACGATGCAGTTCCATCTAACTAAGTGTTATTACTCTGCGAATTTGAATGGAGTAGTTTTAGTAGCTTAGATAGTAATACGTGACTAACATAAATGTATGCATATGTGGTTAAGTTGTGGTTATTTTTTAGTACTTTGAAAAAACATTTTCATACAAATGTGTTTGAATAATTGGCGACTGTTCATAGATTTTGTTTTAAAATTTTTTAATGCTAATATGGCTTTTTACATGAATGATTTGAAGCATAATGGAAAATTTATCAACATTTCTTACTCAATGCTCTTTTTTACTTCTTCATTGGCGCTATAGCCCCATAATGGGCCAAGCCCCTTCTGCTTACTGGCAGATTTCGAGACAGGAGATGTTTTCTTTTTACCGGGTAAGGTTGTCAAAAGTAATTATAATAATCTTATATTATATAGTTTATATGACTATAGCGCAACGCTCTTATAGTCATATAAGACCGGAACACAGGGTTTAAAGTGGATTCCGATATACTACAAACACCCTTGGCCCCGACGGGTTTCAAACTTGTACTTGTACTGTACCGAAACTTGTACTGTTTACTATTTACTTTAAATAGTGATAAAAGGTAAACATTTTATCAAAAATTTACAATCTCTCTGTTTTAATTCTCTCTGAGTTAACCTTTCGGAAGATTCTTCTTCTTCATTGGTGTAACAGCCCCATGGTTGGCCAAGGCCGTCTTCCTACTAGCAGAATTCGAGATAGGAGAGGATTTCTTTTTACAAGGTAGAGCTGTCAGCCTAACGCTTTACATTCGTATTAAACCTCTAGATGAGGTTTAAAATGGATTCAGAACCACTACAAACATCCATGGCACAACTGGGACTCGACCTGAAGCATGTTGCACCGAGGGCCAGAATTAGTCACTTGGCCATCAGGCCCCAAAATTTTGAATGCCAACTGTGTTCCCAGCCAACTGTGTTCCCAGCCAACTGTGTTCTGTGCATGCTGTGTTCCCAGGCGGTCACCCTCCCAAGTACTGACCGCTCCCTATGAGGATTGACTTCGGTGATCGAACGAAAATCGGTATATACACCATTGGCCGTTGGCCAATGTTCTTCTGATTTTTAAAAATCCGTTGTAAATATCTTACATTTTCTGAAAATATAAATTCTATCTCTAATCCACTTTTAAACATCCTTTATTAATAGAATGCGAGGGCTTAATTCTAACATGAAGTATGTATTTTTGGTGTCTATAACGATCTACCTCTTCTGATATAAATAAGGATAATGTGGATACAATGCATTGGAAAGAGCTGGAATAACTGGTGCATAAAATTAATTACTTGGAGATATATTCATCATTATAGCAACGGAGTCTTAATAAATCATACCTTCAATGCTCTTGGCTGTGCTCAACACTTTTGCAGTCACAGAATGATATATCATGGTGATGAAGGCTTCTCCTATTGGTCAAGAATAAAGGATGTGTACTGCCCACAATGGGAAAGTGACTGAAAGCGATTTGTTATGCTGAATTGTCTTATGTATAATTGTATTCAGATTATAAAAGATTATATAGTTGGGACTTTTATTTAACAAAATGCTGAATGTGCTATTTCCCAGCAAATTCCTCTGGAGTAGTTTTAATCTTTTAAAAGAGGACATATAAAAATTTAGGCATTTTTTTGAGATAAAAAAAAATTTATTAAATTTTTTTTTAATTATTTAATTTTTTTATGTGAAAATTTTGAATACGTTTTAAAGTTTTGGTTTTTTTTTTAAATTATTTTGAAAACTTTTTGTCTAAAAATTCTTAAAATATTGGTGTCTGTTCTTTAGTTTGGTTTCCAAAGTTTATAATATTCATTTTTTTTTTTAAATATAAATAGTATTTATCCACGTTTGATGATGTAGGAATTTGAAAATATTTAGAATATGGATTAATTGATAATTCTTCTGCTTATAAAAATATTTAGTTTATTTAGGACGTTTTAATGAATAAAATAGTTTGTATGTTAAGGATATTAATCTTATTTGATGGCCGACAGGGCACTGATAAGAATTAGGGTTGAGGTTCAATCCGCTGACGGCTTTATTGTATACACTGTTTCAAAAAACGTAGAGTCTCTATGGTGTTTGCGATGTTCAGCCTCGTGCCTCGTGTGTCGGACTACCAGGTGGGAGTTTTCCGGGATTTTCTCCCATATAAATGCAGAATAGTTCCCCCTAAAAAAGTCCTCCCCGAAGTCACTGATCTCCTTCTTCAACGACACGGAGCCAAATCAGACTTTTACCGACGGGTGCTTCATCACAATACAAGCTGTTCTCTCTTTCACTCCTTCCATAGGATCACACGCATTCTTGGACTTGGACTGGATGTTGTTGTCGACGAAATGGGATAAGAAACAACAGCAACAGTAATTTGTACAATACGAATTTTATAATAACTTTAAAAGAATTTTCATGGCAGTGAACAAAAATTGAGCGAATGGAAAACACCATTGCTACTTAATTGCATGTCTTATATTCCTGTTTTACTATTTGTTTTTGTCCATTAATGGTCCTGATGCCTCATTTATATATACCACCAATATATATATATATATATATACCAATGGGTGTTGAAGGTCCGCCGTGAAGACTACGAGTAATCGAGTAATTGTTCCGAATTTGCATGTTGTACAGCTAAAAATTGAAAAAAACCCATAAGACATGGGATTGTCGTTGGGAGACAAAAGCATTCCTTGACTCACCATCGAATCTCCTCGCTCTTCATTGCAGTCTCTTCAATGTACGCCACCAAAGTATTCGAACATTGGCCGTTCAGCAATGTAAATAAATTAAAAACTTACATTTAGATATCTATCAACGAATTAATGAAAAAATCTTTAAAAAAATAATTATAAAAAACTAATAAACAAAGATTTAGGTAATAGGCACAGAATATTGTAACAATATGAATAAATAATTGTAATCTGCTTCTCTAATGCACAGGAAGTAATATAGATTTATTCCTATTACTTAAGAGTAAAGAGGAAATGAATATTAAAACAGAATTAAAATAATCCGTTAAAGATGCGACGACAGAACTGGTTTATAAAACATATAAATCTCTCACAAAATGGAAGTGTTTCTTTCATAAATATCATACCTTTCATTTCTTTCACAATAACTCAGAGGAAATAATGAAAGCAACTGCTGACGGACTCAAATGTAAAACATTTTCTGGGAAAATGTCTGCTATTTATTTCGCCAAGAGGGCAAGCATTCATAATAATAAATGCATCGCCGTTCTTTGCAACAAGCTATATGTATTCTGAAACAAGAGGAAACGGCGACTGCTGTTGAGTTATTTATAGAACAAAATTTCTTTTAATAAATGAAATTGTCCAATGGATAAAAACAGTACAAATATTTATTGTTGCACAATACTTTATTTGCTTCGTTTAAGAACAAAATTCATCGAAATAACGATTCATCGAATCGTTCTTAAAAAAGTATAAGTGCTTATACTTTTTTAAGAACGATACGTGTTCTTAAAAGAATTGTGATTTCATTGATTACTAGATATTAAAATATTTAACAAAAATGAACAATGTTTAAAATAATTAAAATGCAAGAAATTAATTTCGATGTACCGATTTTAAATTGGTTGTTTCATTTTTTTAAATTAAATTTAATCATTAAAATAAATTAATCTAAATGAAGGAAATTAAATTCATCTTCTTCATAGGAGCCTCAGCCCTGTGGTGGGCTACGCCCTAGTGGCCACATGACGCCCAACATTAATGTTCGACGAGGACCTACGATTTAAGGTCGATTCTGAACAATTACAAACAACCATGACACCGCCGGGGACAAAAACCAGAAACCGGCGGATCCGAATGCTAGTCACTCTGTAATCAGACCCCATAATTAATGTTTTGTGTTTTTTTAAATGCAATAGCATTGTTAAATACTTATGCAATATAAATGCAATTTTGAAATGCAATATCATAATTACTTTTCACAGTACAGTTTTTTGTATATATTTATAAATATTAGTGTAATGAGGTATTAAACCTTTCGATATATTGTGTTTTAAAAAGTGGAGATAGTTGAGAATGAATACTACTGTCTGTAAAAAGTATCCTAATAAAAGAATTACTATCTGGAAAACGCCTTTTAAATCTTTATAATCCAATACAAATGATACGAAGCGAAGTAAAAATCACTCCATTCCCCCGCGACAACACAGCGTCCGGATTTGGAACTTCGCGAAAAGTATGTTCATCAACAATCCGGCAGAACTCGATTAAACTATCCCAGAATACAGCACTCGGTCCGACTTTGGTGGGTCGAAGAGTTTTAATTGGCAGCCACCCTTGAAACTTTTCTGAAAGCAGAATAGATTCGAAATTGTGATCGTACCGAACAAGAGTTCGTATATTGCAATTAAAGCATTCTCTTTGGGTATTGGATATGAGTTATGATTTATCGGCATCTGAACGTTCCAAATGTGTGAATCAGAGGTTAATATTCCCTGGATTGATGGAGTATCAAATGGGATTCAGACAACAACGAAAATGAAATAATAATTAATCACTACCCATTTCCAAACCACTTTTGGGAAAGTCGTTATTGGTTTTTCTGCAGAAACAGTGATAAAAGTTTAAATTATCATCTTTAGCTTTTCTCTTAAGTGTTAATTTTTAAATATTATTGGACTAAATGAAATATCAATTTTATTTACTTTGTCAGCTCAAGTTCTGAAGACACAATATGAAATTTCAGTTATAATGATATTCAGCTGTAGTACAGTTCTAAGTCTAGCTGAAAATGACATTGAAAACTAGGCGTAAAAAATAAGATCATGAAGAACTAAATAGTTTTTCAACTAATATTTCAATCCAATAATAAATTAATTAATTAAAAGTTTTTTAATAATAATTTGTAGAATACTATCGATATTTTTTAATTAGTATGTCAATCAATGCAAGTTGTGTATAAAACTATTAGCCTATAGAAATCCGATTTTGATTTAAATATGTTTTTTTGTATACAGAGATTACGTTTAAGTTTAACATTGAGCTAATATTTAAAATTTCAGCATTCCCTAAGTTAACGGAAATAGGGATAATTTAGGATAGCAGTGATGATACTAGTTTACAACTAGGCTATGCCAGAAATGTAACTGTACGTTGTGAATGAAAAGGCTGGAAATTATTGTTTTACATAAAGACTGGGTTTTATTTCCTGCTAGAATTTACAAAAGTTTACTTTTTCAAGTATAATGTAAAATAATCATAAGGAACTTTATCATCAATTTTCATGTATGATAAATTGTGATATCAACGGATTAAACAAAAAAATATTTTAAACAAATAATTTTAAAGGACAAATAAACAAAATTTAATTATTTGCACAGAATACTGTAACAATATGAATACGTATTTGTAATCTTCTTCTCTAACGCACATGGAGTATTAAACATTTATTTTTATTACTTAAAAAGTAAAGAGTAAATGAATATTTAAATCAAAATTTAAATGATTCGTTAAAGATGGCACCACAGAGCTGGTTTATAAACACATAAATCTATACAAAGTGGAAGTGCTTCTTTTATAAATTTTGCTACCTTTCACAATAACTCAGAGGACATGATGAAAGAAGCTCATGACGTACTCAAATGTAAAACATTTTCTCAGAAGACGACTGCTATTTATTTCGACAGAGAGCAAGCATTCACAATAATAAACGCATCGCCCGTTTTTGCAACAAGCTACGTGTTCAGAAAAAAGAGGGAATGCCGACTGCTGTTGAGTTATTTATAGAACAAATTTTCCTATAATAAATAAAATTGTTCGATGGATAAAATAAATACAAATATTTATTGCTACAAAATTCTTTACTTTCTTCGTTTGGGAACAAAATTCATCGAAATAACTTATCGTTCTTAAAAAAGGATACGTTTTTATACGTTTTTACAAGAATTGTGATTGGATTGATAGCTAGACAACGCTGAAGAACAGTTTGCATGTGTTGTTATTGTTGTGTCTAATCCTCAGTGTCCTGCAGTGCGGAACGGAGATGCCATGAGTACTCTACTCATG